AAAAAAAAAAAGAAAAGAAAGAAAGAAAGGAAGAAAAGAAGAACGTTCTGCTCTACTTCAGAAATCGTTCCTCAAGGAATGATATATCATCATCAACCCTGTTTCTCGGGCCAGAAAGAAACCTTTCCTTTGCTAACTCACCTGAAATGTGTTATGGAATCCTTAGCCAATCACAGCCAGCGTTTCTTCTCAAGTCCCATTATTCTGTCCCGTAAATGATAGTCCTGTTACTATGCTGCTGCCAGAGACATCGTGGGACAGAGGGCAACTGTTCCCCTAACTAGGTCCAAGACTTGACTAACTTAACCTTAACCAGTCAGAAGGAAAACCTCCTTGATCTTTGATACCAGATAAAATTTAAGGTCATAAGGAAGCCTTAGAAAATCTGACTCCATTTTAAGCAAGAAGAGTCTTAAAGGAAAAATCCTAAATTAAGTCTNTTAACTTGAGGATGTCCAAATCTGATAACAGACATATAAAGTCAAATTCGGAAAACACAAGTTTGGTTGAAATAGGGCAAAAAAAACACCCTATATAAATGAGTCATTTTAGTAGCTACATATTCAAGACAAGAATTAACTCTGCTTTGACTAACACTGTCTCTAGGGTTTACGTTTTACAGACTTTCATGGTTATCAAAACTTAAAAAAAAATAGAATAGATATTTGCCAAAGTACAAGTTTAAGAGTCCTGTACATTAACATATTCATTGGTCATTTCCCTTTATGAAAATCATGTGGATAGTACTAAAAAAAATCCAGAACACTGAATGGAATTCATAAAGAAATAATATCACTGGTGCTCTGTGCCTAGAGAGAAGAAAGATTACTATCAGGTGTTAAGTCATTTATTTTCTGTAGGAAACCAAGGAAATGACTATTGTCCTATATTTCCACCTTTCTTGGTCTATAATGATGTCAAGTGGCTTGTTATCAAATCCAAAATGGATTATCTTATTAAAACATGGGCTGTTGAATGTTTGTCTCCTGCACAGCCTGAAGAACAAGTACTGAAGAGTTGGGAATAAGTAAAAGAATTTTGAGAAAAAATAAAAATCCAAGTTAATTTTTTTTTTTAATTGTGAATATTCTAATGAAAACAAAAAAGAGAAAGATTGATGTTAAGATTCTCCTCCATGGCCTGAAAAATATGTACACTACTAAATAGTTAAACTAAGTTTTGTCTTTTTCTCCAAGAATCTCTATTCACTCTCTTCTTATTTTATAATTTAAACATTTAGTTAAGATTTTGTACCAAATATAACACTATATTCCTTGAAAACCCTGGGCATGATATTGGTTTTTAATGTATGTTTCAAAACAGTAATGGTAGAAAAAAATGAACTTTACAGTTTATTTCATCCAAGAAGTAGTGTCAAAGCATATAAAAGCATTATGTGTTTTTTATGTTGTCAAAAATTCTGACAAAAGTAATTGCTATTAAAAGATTCTATATTAAAAGATTCTGTCAACAATTGTCTGGCCACCCATGTCAGGCACATCTCAAAATGGCCACGAGTTTCCTCTATCTTTCTCCCCCACCCCCCAACACTCTGTATCCTGGGGATGCAGTGAAGAAAGAAATTCCTAGTTGGCTGCCCAATGGCCAAATGCACAGGCTCAACCCAAAGTGTGATCTGTCAGTTTACAAGTATATCCACCTCTCACTGTGACTTTTCGAAATTCCTCAAATGATGTATTTTGTCATAATAATTAATTTTCATGTACATTCAATTCCTATACTAATTTGACATTTTTATTGGCAGTGCTATTATGTATTTACTTTTATTTTATCCCAATACCATCTCCAAACATTTTACCTGCTTTACCTTTTACCTTTTTAAGGCATTCTATCTTCCATGTCTACACTTTTTCTGTACGCTTTCATAATTGTATAGAAGTTTAAGTTAGAATATTGCCCAGACATGGGCCCAATAAACAGACTTCCTGGGTTAGATTCAACAACCTACTTGGTGTACAAGCTTCTATGGTTTCAGTTTTCTTATCTGTAAAATGTAGAAAACTTTCTACTTCACAGAACTGTTTTAAGGATTCAATGAGATAATACATATAAAGTGCTTTCGTGTCCATAGTCAATATTAAATAATTTAAATTAGTAGTAGTAATGGCAATACTATTTCAGCCATTCTTCCCAAACTTATTTTTAAGACTGGATGTCCTAATCTGATTTTTGTCTGACTTTGCAGAATCCACCTAGTTTTATGTGTCAGACTCTCTATATGACCTATTATATAACTAGAATGGAAATGGCAGTTGTATTAAAAATACTGATGATGGAAGATTGATCTACAAAATTAACATATAGAGAGGGTGCCAAAAAAAAGGTGCATACATTTTAAGGAAGGAAAAAAAAACTGTATTAAAATTGTAACACTCAATATATACTGATAACAAAGGATGAATACAAGTTACATTTGACTTCTGCAATTACAAGAGGTGCTCAGGGTGGTTACCATCAGCCTCCAGACACTTCTGATTATGACAAACTATTGCTTGAGCAACGCTGACCAAAGTGTTCACTTGTATACATTTTTTTGATACCCATCCCCAGTATTTCTCATAATAAATGGCAAAAATGAACTACTTTATCTGTTTGGAACTGTAAGGATGCACACCAGTTACACAGGGACACAACTTGTGTCTCCACAGATATCCTAAGGAGGACATTTAATATTCTCTGACTACTAGACACAACCAGGAAATGTCTGATAGCCCTTCCNTCCATTAAACACTGCTGGCTGCTTCTCTTGAAGTTTTACAGCAAAACAGAATGAAATATTTCTGTTACATATTTAAGAAGTACACAAAAAAACTGGGAAAAGAATAAAACCAAATTCCTACTTCCCTCTAACATATACAATATAAATTAGGGTTAATATACCAACATCAGCTCCATTCACAAGGAGGGAGATTGATTTTAATGTACAGGCACTAATTAAAACCTATGAACCCACAATTTTTCCTGTCTCTATTTGAGGACAGGAAAATACTGTCTATAAATAATGTGATATGAGGTTCTTATTCACACTGTAAAACCTCTGGGAATATTGGCATTTGCTTTTTGTGCACCTAAATGTTTCATTCAAACCTTATCTTAAAACTGAAAAATGACAGTAAAGGGGAAAAAGTATTTAGAGATCATTAAAGATTCCCAGGCCTGGTGACAACAACACATTATCGTGACTTTGACTACTGGACCAGACAGTATTTTCTGACTTTTTTTGTTCTTTTTTGCCTCCTCCAACATGCATGACTTGAGTATACTTACTGATATTCAAGTTGAAGAACATATGTATTGTGAAATTTAAAAAAATTGGGAAATATACCATGCTTTTTCACCTTTCCATCAGCAGTGGAAAAAAAAAAGGTTATCCTCTCTGAATGAGATGTTATGGTCTGTATCATTTGTTAAAATTAAACATGGACTGTGCAGAAATGTATTCTATTAAACTAATACTAATGAATTTAGATTAAAAAAAAAAGTACTCCAAAGAAAAAAAACAAGGGCTTGATTATATTAAACAAACAAAAAAGAAGGTAAGAACTACTGAGTTTGGAGGACATAAAGTTTATCTTGATGAATCAGGCTAGAAAATAACGGGGAAAACATAACTTTCACTTAAGGTTTGTCTACACTGACCAAATAATATTAATAACTGCTGCATAGTCTTTTCTTCCATGATGCTCTACTGCCTAAGTCTTGGGTTGAATCTATGCAAGTCAGCTAGTATGCCGTGCATAGAACTGTGGAGTTGTGTTGTGGGTTGACACAGTCCACAGAGTTAATTTCAGATATATGACAATCAACACTGAACACAGAGGTAAAATGATATCCTCTACATGGCAAAGGTCTGTTTCAGACCTAGGCTTATACTGAAGAAGAGAAATATATACTGAGATGCCACACACCCTGTGCCATATTGCTCAGGAATGAGGAAGTTATTGGAGAAGCCCTCTACACACTACCATCCAGATCTATGCTCTCGCGTGTCCTCATCAGAAATCTTTTTTGGTACGACAGTCTCCTAACCCCTTAAATGAGATCCCCGATGACTGCATGCACTCTGATCTTTATAACAGTGAAATTTTATTTAAATTTTCTTTTGATTGTTCAATGACAAAATAGTGTGAATGGTTTAGTTCTGATTTTTTGAATAAGGTATAACTAATAAGATTAAATATTTATGTCATTTATGTCCTTTTTTCGGTCATCTATACTGCCATCACGGTGGTGGGTTAGTAAGAGAGGTAGGCAGCGTGCACTGAGCTCCATGAGCAATGCTTGCTTTCTTAAATACAAAACATGGTCAGCTAATGCCGCAAGCAATCACACTGCCCTTATTATGATTTTAACCAGTGAAGCTGTAAATGTTAACAATTATAAAATTTCCAACATCTTTTGCAAAAAAATCTAGCTGTGCTCATAAACCTTTTTGTTTTCTAACCATAAATTATGTCGTCAATTTGACTACACGCTGTTAAATAAGCTTTCTTTTGCTTTTATGTGCTTTTCAAACTCACTGACCTCAATTTCATCAACTGTCCCCTCTCCTCATGGAATAAAAAAGGAGAAATACAAATGTCAGCAGAGAAATCCACCCAACAAAGGGTGTCATTCCCGTATCTGGGCTCTGTGGTTTCCTAAGAGAGAACAAAGCTTTCTGACATTGAGGTTATATTCCTCTTATTTTTTTAATACTTCCTCTTTGCTTTAGATTTTTATTCGCTTTTCAAAACAGGCACCAATTTAAATAAAGTCATATGGTTCTTATAAAGTTACTGTACCTTCCTAATTTCAGAAAGTGATTTTTTTCCAAGTTAGTAATATTTGAGGTTGCAAATGAGTGAGAATCAACCACAGTCTGAGACGATATTTTACTCAAGAGAGAAAATCTGTTCTGCCAACATCAGGATGCTCTGGAAATGATTGCCAGGATTATAAAGAGAAGGGGCTGGGACGTCGCAGCAACTTCTGCTTACCTCTTGTTCAGATTCCAAAAGCTCTGTTTTGACTCTAACTGCCGGCATCCCATTAAGCATTAACATTCTGCTCTCAAAGGTGTTGAAATTCTGAGAATAAAAAAGAGACAGAGGGAAATTCAGCTTGAAAGCATTCAAAAGAGGACATCTGGCAGAGTCTTCCTTCATTGTGGTACATTTAGTACTGCTAACCTAATTTTTTAACAATGAAGTATAATTAATTGAGAATATCAACATAACCAATTATCTCCTCATTCTGAACTTTCATTTGAAATAATGGCCAAGAAGTTGAATTAATCAGTCTGCATCTCTGACCTCCGGGTTGGAGGTCAAACTGTAATAAACTGGAGTAAGGAAACCTTCCATTAATTTATATAGGGCTGGAATAATTCATCACACTTTTGTAACAGTGTAGGGAAATATAAGGCACGTTTCTCTCTTCCTTAGTTCTGGAGGTTGTACTGAATACAGAAATCCATAAAGGAGAAAATAGATAAAAATGATTCATATACTCACTTATTATTGTCAAAGTCTAAATAATTTTAAAAACAGGAGAATATAATTCTAGACACACTGAATTTTGGTATCATGTAATTCTGATCAAATGAAAATTTTTACATATCAACCTCAAACACCTACCTTAAAAACAACTCACATAAGTCTTAGATTAAGAGTGAATTCTTAAGCTGAAGTCACAACCAAAGAATAAATAACAATTTTATTTTGTTCCAGTATACGTTTGGCTCAATTAGACATCTCTTGAAAGGAAAACCTTATTTCTAGTGGGCCTCAATATAATTTCAAACTACACTTATAAAAAGATTAAGTCAAGGTTATTTTCTACTAATTGTCACTGCTTTGGGGATTTTCTGAAGTCAATAACCTATGAAGGGAGTCAGAAAGCCATACATCAGTGTTTCCTTAAGGCCAAAATCAAGCTCGTGCTTTAAAACATGTTTAGAATGCCAGCTTTACCCTCATTTACTGACAAAACTGAGAAACTGAAATGACTACATTTGACTGAGTTTTTAGAATGGCTCCTTTGCTCAATTATAGAGAAACCATAAGACACTAAAGGGGTCTTATCAAAAGAAAGAGATTTGTTTCTAAATATTTTGCCCACCTGATGACAAAGGTTAATGTCATTTCTAAACCTTCAGGATTTTCGCCTTTCCTACAGTAGTTGCTTTTCTACCAAATAAACAGTTAAATAAAAACAACTTCCGGGCCGGCCGAGTGGCGCGATGGTTAACAGCTGGCTTNGTTAAACAAGTTGTCTGGTACCCACCACCCAGCTTCGATATTGAGGGAATCATGACCAATCTTATTTCTATGCCTATCCATTCTTCCCTCCATTTTATTTTGCAGCAAATCCAAGACCTTTAATCATTCCATTTGTAAATGTATCAATAAGTATCCTCAAAGTGCATAAACTTCAGGATGCTAAAAAATTGTGGCCAAATACCAGCACCACACCTAAATATGTCATTTTTATGTTAACTTAGTAATTGATTTCTGGCTTCATCATTTTTCACAAGATAAACTCTAATCAGAATTTGAAACATTTTTCCAGATGTGCTTAAATAAAAATTCAAATAATAAATAAGAGTTCCATTTTTGAGATTTGACATCAATGTTAAAATCTCTGCTAAATACCTTATGAGATTTGCAGCAATAGAAACTGAAGCAATGGAGCCCTTTTTATTCTTGTTTTTCTTCATAAGAAGAACATGTATTCAGCACCCACCATACGCAGAAAGCTCTTCTGAGACTGGGTAGTTCATTTCACTTTTAGGTGGAGAAATAAGCAGATGAAGACCAAATGTGACACACACTGCTGGCACCTGGCTGAGCAAGCATCTGAACTCAGGCCTGTCTCTCTTTAATGTCTACACATTTATACTTCTACACACAGGAAGCTTATTGTAGCAGGATTATTAAACTTGTAATTAGAAGTGCTTTCTCTCATTCCTTGCCCATTATCAGAACCACAGAATGTCAGCTTGAACCTAGGAAGAAGGCCTCATCTCCAACATTCCCACTGTACAGATGAGGCCCTAGAGGTCTGAAGATACGAAGTGACTTTCCAAAGCCAGTAAGCTGCAGGGCCGGGAATGAAATGACATTCTTGTCTTTGAAGCAGCATCCTTTCTCTGCATACTGCCTTATCTCTGGATGTAATCGTTCCAGTGCTCTGCCACCTGCTTTAGTCCTTTGCTTAATAACATGTTAGAACATCTAAAGGCTGACAGCATTTGGGAAGCTCTTGTAACTGCAGGACATAAGCACCAAAGGTCACAGACAAAGTCATTGCCATACTCCTTGCTGTGCCCCTGAAGTATACCACAAGAACACATGCCCTTCCCACGGACTGCTAAGCAGCATGGGCTGTACTACTGACAAGCCTGAGGAAAACTGAAGTCGCATTTCAGGCGACTGCAGTGACAATCTACTTAGATATCACAAAACTATGGATGGAAGAAATCAGAGAATGCCATACGCGAGGAAGGCACACAGAGCTGGTGTCAGTATGCCACCGTATCTATCCAGGTCACATGGGTACAGGATGAAGACCTCTACCTCCAATGAGAACGGTTATTCCCAGTACTTTCAATTTTTATGTTCACAACAACCCTGTGAGATAGATAGAGCAGGTTTATAATTAGCAATTGACTGGTTCCATATTTTTCACCATGCCAGCTATAATTCCTGGATAAGTTGAATGAAGCAATTATTTACTGAGCACTTACCACGTGCCAGGAACTACCAGAAAAAAAGTAAGACATAGTTCTTGCCCTCTAAGCACTAATAATCTGATTGAAGAAACATGACCATGTACACAGAGTGGCTAACCTAGGCCTATTTCACAGTCTTTCTGGAAGCTCTGAAATACACGCATCAGGTCCTGAATTCCCTGGAGGGGTGGGAGAGGGGGTTGGGGGGGCACACAGAGGCCTGCTGACAGCAGAAGACCTAAGGGACTACTTATAGGAAGGAGAGAGCAAACATATGCCTTCACAGTGCACTGAAGCATGAGGTCCATGTCAAGTAGCATACGGGTATCTTACACGCTGTGGTAGCCTGAAAGGCAGACCAACTTTTCGTCCCCCAAAGACTGGAGGTTAATGTCTGTGTCTCATGAACAGAGTCTGAAAACTAGGTTTTGCAGAGTGATAACAGAGTCCAACCAACTGGAGGCTTTCTCATTCATTGTTGTGACGCATAGATGCATTTCTATAACTTTCATTCACTGTAACTACCATGTTTCATGTTTTTCAAAAGCCAGTGATCTTACATGTGATTATTTTAATTTCACCACTATTGTTTACATTTTCTTATGACAAATCAAACTTCAAACAGCCTTAACAGTAAATGAGGAAACAGTGCTGTAACGTTGAAGTAAAAAAAAAAATCTTCAGAATTCTAGCACTCGTTATCTAAAAATAGTTCTGAGATTCTGAAATTATATAGTATATCACCCATCCCATTATCTCCAATGAAAAACTCTA